TAGTAACAGTAGCAATAGTAACAGTACCAACAGTAACAATAACAATGGTAACAGTAACAACAGTAATAATACCAAAGGTAACAATAACAATAGTTACAGTGGCAATAGTAACAATAGCAAAAGTAACAATAACAATAGTAACAATACTTAAAGTAACAACAACAGTAATAACTGTAACAATAGTAACAGTAGAAATAGTAACAGTACCAACAGTAACAATAACAATAGTAACAGTAACAATAGTAATAATACCAACAGTAACAATAACAATAATAGCAGTGGCAATAGTAACAATAGCAAAAGTAACAATAATAACAATAACAATAGTAACAATACTTAAAGTAACAACAACAGTAATAACTGTAACAATAGTAACAGTAGAAATAGTAACAGTACCAACAGTAACAATAACAATGGTAACAGTAACAATAGTAATAATACCAACTGTAACAATAAAAATAGTAACAGTGGCAATAGTAACAATAATAATAGTAACTGTAACTATAGTAATAATGGCAACAGTAACTAAAACAATAGTAACAGCTACGGTAACAAGAATAACAGTAACAATAGTAATAATACCAACAGTGACAATATCAATAGAAACAGTAACGGTAAAAATAGTAACAATAGTAATAGTAACAATAACCGTAACAATAGAAGGGAAAAGGGAAAGGCACTTTAGTTGCAAAAAATTTTTAGGTTATGTTGTGTTACGACTTATATAACCTTGAATTTTGATGTTATGTTCGTTTTAATTTATGTTTTTTGACGCATCTAACAATCTTGGAGACAGTGCGGCGAAAACTTTTTATATAATATATATTACTATATAAACATGAAAAATTATTACGTGTGAAAAATTATTATTTTGAGCTCGCTTATTATAAAGCGCGAAAAGCATTAGGTAACTGAATATAAAGAGTATAATATATAGATAAACGTTTGATTACTCACTGATGTATTATATATATATACATCTCGTTCTCGCACGATGGAAATGAATTTACATTAACACTTCAATCAATCGATTTGAAAATTGTATATTTTGATGCATGACAGTTATGATGATTTGCATCATTGATTTTTCTCATTTGCATTTTTCCTATTGATTAATAATAATAATAATAATAATAATAATAATGGAAAAAAGATATTAACGCGCAAAGTTTTTATTATACAAATTTGTATAACTATAAATATATATATATATGATTTACAATATTTTTCATTTATAGACATTGCAATAAAAAAAAGAAAATGTTTATAATTGTTCTTATATGTCTTGCAATTTTATTTTTAAAATAAGATTATTGATCATTTTTAATGATCAGTAATTAGATTATATATACCTTGCGGTTTATAACTAATGTTCATGTAACATTTTGTATATCTGCAAAAAAAAGAAAAAAATTTGATATCTTTTATATATATCAAAATCCTTGCGATTTGTATTTCAATAATATTAAAATAATATATAATAATAATAATAATAATTATTATTATTATTATTTTAAATGATTATTATAGCAATATAATAAAATAATTATTAATGCTAATTAATAATAATTTTTCAACGATTGAGAACCTTTAGAATAAAAATATATATATATGGTGCGCGATCGCGTATATATATATATATATATATATATATCCGCGCGGAGACTTCAACGTCCCGACGCCCGCGCGAGCAATGTTTCGCTTGATGGTCGTTCATTTTTAAAACGAGAAAATAACTTGAGACCAGTGAATTACTAATTGGTCGAAAGCACGGCCCCAAAGTATATATCCACCTCCCGTCGTGCTTTCAATGTCCTGATTAAAGTCGATTTTCAGCCTTACATCGATTCATCAAGGTTGACATTGCAACAAAAAAACGACGATGACGACAAAAAAAAAAAAAAAAAAAACACCTCAACCAAATTCATATACATAGTAGTATATAATATGTATATAAAAAAAACACACACATATTATATATATATATACGAGAGAAAAATTATATTTACCTCAAGGACCCAATATTATTTTAATTAAGAAACTTTTTTTTTAATTCACTTTTTCCTTATTTCATTGATATATATTATCCTATTACTTTTTTTCGGTTTTTTAATCGAGCTATTTCTGACAAAAATTTTCCGTTATTTTTTTTTGACTAAACAATAATAATTGTAAAAGTAACAATACAAAAGTATAATAATAGTAACAGTAACAAAAACAATAGTAAATGTAACAATAATAACAGTAGCAATAGTAATAATAACAATAGTAACAACAATAAAATTTGTAACAGTTGCAATTGTAACAATAGCAGTAATAATAGTAACTGTAACAGTAGCAATGGTAGGCTATAACAGTAACAATACCAATAGAACTAATAGTAACAGTAACAATAACAATGGTAATAGTAAACCAGTAAATAGTAATAGTAACACCAGAAATAGTAACAGTAACTATAGTAACAGTAGAAATATAATAACAATAATACTCTCTAAATCTGAATTAGTAAAAATGTTTACTAATTTGAATTAGTGACTCACTTTTTGCTTATGAATTAGTTAAATTTCACTAATTGTTAGTAATTAGTAATAATTAAATTAGTAATAATTAGTAAAATTTTACTAATTCAGAAGCAAAAAGTAAGTCACTAATTCAAATTAGTAAAAAATTTTACTAATTCAGATTTAGAGAGTAGTAACAGTAACAATAGTAATAGTAGAAATAATAATAATAATAGTAATAGTAACAGTAACAATAGTAACAGTAACAATATTAACAGGAACAATAGTAGCAGTAACAATAGTAACAGTAACAACAGTTACGTAATAGTAACAGTATAACAATAGTTACGTAGTAGTAACAGTAACAATAGTTACGTAATAGTAACAGTATAACAATATTTACGTAGTAGTAACAGTAACAATAGTTACGTAATAGTAACAATAGTTGCGTAATAGTAACAGTATAACAATATTTACGTAATAGTAACAGTATGACAATAGTTACGTAGTAGTAACAGTAACAATAGTTACGTAATAGTAACAGTATAACATAGTTACGTAGTAGTAACAGTAACAATAGTTACGTAATAGTAACAGTATATCAATAGTTACGTAATAGTAACAGTAACAATAGTAACAGTAATAGTAATAGTAACAGTAACAATAGTAACAGTAATAGTAAATCAGTAAATAGAAATAATAACACCAGAAATAGTATCAGAAACAATAGTAACAGTAGAAATAATAATAATAGTAGTAACAGTAACAATAACAGTAACAATAGTAACAGTAACATAATTAACAGTAGCAATAGTAATAGTAACAACAGTAGCGATAGTAACAGTAACGATATGAATATAGTAACAATTGTATTATTATTAGCATCAGTAAAAATAACATGAGTAACAATAGCAATATTGGTAACAGCAATAGTAACAATAAAAAATAACATAAGCATTGACAGTACTAGTAACAGTAACAATAATCTTACTAACTAAAATCGAAAGAAAAATTTTGTTCAAATAGCAAAAAAAAAAAAAAAATGGTAACTTAAAATTGATTATCGATTTCAAGGTCATTTTAAGGCCAACGCACAACTAATTCTTGAACGGGAACGCAAACGGAATGGAATGAGTAAGAGAAGGACAAACATTATGTCTATCCTTCTCTTACTCATTCCATTACGTTTGCGTTCCCGTTCAAGAATTAGTTCTGCTTAGGCCTTTATACAGAAGCGCCTTTTGCCCGCCATTCAGAAAGGGTAAAGTTAGGTCTCGTTTCAGCGAGAGAAACGCGCGAATGTTTTTCTTATGTTCCGCCCACGCGATACGTACCGACGACGACAACGATATATACATATACATATATATATAAGAAACAAAATTGTGAATCTCGCGCCATTGCTGAGAGGAGTGAGAGAGAGAGAGAGAGAGAGAGAGAGAGAGAGAGAGAGAGAAGAGATTTGGGACCGTTCGCGGCAAAGGGGTGGGGGGACCACAACCTAACCACAAACGAGAGAAAGAGTGAGAGAGAGAGAGAGAGAAAACATATTCGATTAGCCATCGGTTGGAAGCAATTGAAAATTTTCCATGGTGCTTGTGGTGTATATTCTCGCCAGTTATGTATATATATATATATATATATATATGTAGTCAAGGCCCATACGTGATGCTTCCCTGAACAGGGTCGTATTAAGAAGCGTAGCCCGAGGGTATATTCTCTCTCTCTCTCTCCCTCTCTCTTTGGGTGCCCATTTTTCACGACTCTCTTCTTTCGTTTTTATTTTTTTTTCTTCCTCTTTTAATTCCATCTTCCCTCTTTGCTTCTTCTTCTTCTTCTTCGTCGTCTTTTTAATCTTCCTCTCTGCGCGCACTACAGCTTCACGCACTAGGGTCCGTCCCTCCCACTTCTGGGATTGCCGCCAATCTCCCCTCCAATACACTGGACCCAACTCTCCCTACCTTTTGGATGCGTATGACTATTTCATGCCAAAAAATTTTTCCCAAAAAAAAAAATTAATTTTTGTTTTAGTAAAATAGAAAAAAGAAATAGAGAGAGAGAGAGAGAAAATTCCCGGGTGGCCAAAGAGGTCCATCGATGACTCTCTCGATGGTCTGTTTGTATCCGTGTATAGTTTTGCATCTTTCTTCAACGTTCGCTTTGGATTATAACAATCTGTCCTTGTCGTTGGCTACCTGCGTGCTCAGACTCTCTCTTTCTCTCTCTCAAAATGGAAGAGGGGAGAGAGAGAGAGAAAAATGCCCTCGGGGACTCTCGATGTAGCTTTGAAACAGGAGTGGGGGAGTATTGGGACGTATCCAAGAGATGCGTGGGGAGAGTAAGAGAGAAAAGGATCAACGAATAAGAGTGAGAGAAAACAAACTCAGGTAAAGGAAAGAGAGAGACTCAACGATATATAGAGAGAGGCAAATATTGAGGTAGTTGAAGTGAGACACAATCACATTGACTAGAAGGGGAGAAGTGAGAAAGGGGGAGAGGCTTGGATGCTGGAAGGCGGCGGCGGCGGCGGCCATGTTGCCTATCTCAAGAGAAGAGAGAACTCTCCGAGGACCGAGCAGCGCCAAGGTTCGCTCGTTCCTTGCAGCGGTTAACTTTGCTTTTTTCAAAATATATAAATCCTCTCAGTTGTGTATATATTTCCAAAAATTCAATCTCCTGTTTTTTCAAAGGGAATTTTAAAAACCCAGAAGAAATGATACATTCAGTGAAAACTTGTAACAAGTGAGAGTGTTTTTAATGTTCTCCAAAATAAAATAGTGAGGTGTCATAAAAAAAATAAAAAAGTGGTTTGTGAAAAAAGTGTACCCGTCGGAAAACAATTTGAGACTGAAAAAAAAAAGCTGGAATCAAATTTATTAAAGCCTCGGGTGCCGTGGAAAATGTTATCATCCGCGGAGATGTGATCCGGAACTCAAGAGGGACGCTTAGTAGTTTGTAGTTTCGTCCCCCTTATCCCCCCCTCCCACGTTACCCCCCTGAAAGGGGGCCCGCCCATATCAACTCAACAACCCCCCCTTCTACCACCCCACCCACACCATCCCTCCTGTTTTTTTTTTTTTTTTATTTTTATTAGTGCAACTGATATTAAACTTCTAATGCAATCTGGACAAGTGAGTACAATTTTTTTTTTAGCTTTTGCTATTTATTCCTAGACAGCGGGAGAGAGAGAGAGAGATTCTAACCTGCGTTGAAGTTGTACCTGTGTCTATAGAGAGACAGGTGGTGGTACACAAGGTCTCCCTTAGCGTCAAGTTCATCTGAGGGGAAAAAAATTTTTTCCCTTCAGAGACTCCCCGATGTGTATGTGTGTGTGTCTGTCTCTGTATTTAGTAATTAGAGAAGAGAAATTCTTGAAAAGATGGGATATTAGATTAGAAAACAGAGAAAGCTACTTTTAGCCAAATTTTTGTGTTGCTATTTTCAAAATTTTTTTACCTCATCTTTTATACTGATGATTTTTAGAAAGAATTTTGAAAATCTGTAAATTTGTCAACCAAATATTTGATTTTAAAAATATACAAAATTATAGGTATAAATTTATTTACGAACATTTTAGGAGATTTATGGACAATACAGATTTTGAAAATCTGTAAATTTGTCACCAAATATTTGATTTTACAAATAGGGATACAAAATTATAGGTATAAATTTATTTACGTAACATTTTAGGAGATTCATGGATAATACAGATTTTGATAGTCGAAAGTTTTTGGTGCTTTTTGCAATTATTAAAATCACTAATGTCGTAAAATTTTAGGTACTAATAACACTGATTGAAAAGTATTTAGTACAAATGATGATTAAAAATTATTTATACCATTTAGAAAATGATGATTTAGGGGATAATTTTTCTTTCTACTTTAATTTTTCTTAGGGTTTTAATGATTTTGTTCAACATTAAGATCATTAATTGATAATTATTATAGTTACAGTAGATACAGGTAGAACTATACAGTAGATCAAAATTTCCCTCCAAATTATATTTAAAGTTCCTTAAATAATTCGGAATAATTTTAATACTAATTGTATGAATACAGATTTGAATTGCTTGAAATTTTTTAGGTTTACTTTGCCAATATTTTACTAATTTTGAATTATTAATTCCAGAAAATTAATTAATAGTGCTACTACTTTAGGAATTGTAATATATAATAGATGATTTTGAAAACTTCTACTTTTCCTAAAAAATTTTGGGTCATAATAATAATAACATTAGCAATTGAGAATTATTTACTGTAGTAGATGATAAGATTATTTCTACCATTCAGGAAATTATGATTTAGCAGTTAATTCTGAAAACTTCCACTTATTTCCCTTAAGTTTCAGATGATTTTATCCGATTTTGTCCAAATTTTGTCACTGAGAATTATTAATTGCAGTAGATGATTAAAATTACCCCCATATTATTTAAAGATTCTTAAATAATTCGGAATAATTTTAATACTAATTATATCAATACAGATTTGAATTGCTTAAAATTTTGCGGATTTACTTTGCCAATATTAATTTCACTAATTGGAAATTATTAATAATAGATCAAAATATTATTTCCATTTAAAGAATCATAAATAATTGGAGAATAATTTTTGATACGGATTTAAACTTCAGTTGCTTAAAATTTTGGGTTTAAAACAAAAGGGTATATTAATTTAATACTGACTTTATGTATACTAAATTGTCATTTGGTATACTATTTTGATACCTAAAATCGGTAATATTTTAATATTTTCTTTTTACAGTGTACCGATATTAATTTCACTACCTAGAAATTATTAACTTTAAAACTGCTACTATATACTTATGATCACTAATTACTCCTAATCTTCATAAAAAAAAAAAATTTTAATTTTCATGTTGATCATATTATAGAGAATTATGGCACTAATACCAGGAGAATTATTATTAATCACATAGAGATGTTTATGAAAAAATACAACCACACTTTAAATATTATAATCAGTTTATTGATAATGATCAAAATATTAAAAATTTATTAAATATATGGTAATGAATATCCATTTTTAATAAACTCGAAGGAGAGTTCCTCTATTCATATATATATATATATATATATATATATATATATACGGATTATATACACCTATATAGTAGAGTCTGAAGGTCGATTTCGAAATTACGTTTGTTTACATAAGAACATTAGGAAATCCTTCATCTTGAAGCGAGAGACACACCAAACTAAAACGGTTATTGCTGCCATTCAATCTTCGTTTTATTATATATATGAGTGATGTGTGTGGTTAAACTCCGCATTTGAATTTCAACAATTTAACATTTCAAAATTTTCAATTATTGTAACCGATAATAATTTACTTTCAAATTTTTTCTTATTGTTATATCCGTAAGATTAATTTCTTAATCCAGTAGAGCTTTTATATTCGAGCATTTTTGGTATATAAATATTGCAAATGGTATAATCATAATTACTGTTAGTAAATTCCAATTTCAAAATTTTTTCAGAAAGGAATTATTTAGAATTTTTTAAAGGTACTTTTATACTTTTAAGATACTTTTAAAGTTACTTTCCAAGGTAATTTCAAAGCTACTTTTAAAGCTACAATTTTTCAAACCCCAGCAAGTTGGGAAATAAAAAATTCCACTTTATCCAAAAGTCTTCGAATTCTTGTAACACAGTACATAATTTTTAACATATACACATTCAAAATCACTTCACATATTTTTATTCACTCACGCGGCACCTCTCTCATCATTTTTATAATCCGATTAAAGAAATATGCTTCCCTGGACACAAAAGTTGAAATAAATCCGACAACTGACAGTTACTAAAGCAAAAAAAAATGAGGGCAAGGTTAAAAAACACTCGCAAAGGGAAATTTTGAATTTTTGTTTGTAGAAATATACAGAGTAAGTAAAATTTTTCGCGACACGAAACATTCTACCGCGAGGCGAGGGCGTCTCGAGGTTACAACTTGAAATACAGAGAGAAGACGGACCCCACGGAGATGGGTCCCAATCTGCTGATCATGAGGCCAGGGTTCCCTTTGAGAATCAGGTTAGACCGGCCGAACCAGCTTTTCTGGAGGAGTTCTCTGCTACTAGCATAACCTACTCTCCTTCCGCGTATATATGTTATAAGTTGTTAGGTGTGTTTTAAAACCACTCTTCATGATTCTGCTCACAACGTTTTGTTTTCTTGATGCGATATTGAAACACACAACACTTTGCCTATAGATCCCCTAGACTTGTCCTAACTTGTCTTCTTTTGATGCTCGCGGGGGAAAAGAGAAAGAGAATATGCTTGAAAACACGTTCACTCTCGATTGATTCCTCTCTTCCTTGTTACACACGCGTCTATTATTACACACATGTCTATCAGTCAGTGCCAAAGCGCAACCATTTGGAAATCCAGTTTTATGAGTAGGTCCATTTGCAAAAAACCAAATTTAGGAAGATCTAATTTTTAACCTATTAAAATTGAATGTTTCGAATTGGATATAATAAAAGTAAATTTTGAAATTTTTTATTTAAAAAAAGAAAATTGAAGAACGATGCTAATTCTTTTCGCAGTGAAGTTTCTTTATTCCTCAGTTTTCTTATCAGAGGAATAACTTTTTCCAATTCCTTTTTGCTCTCCTTCTCAAAGGAATATTTATATTGAAAACTAGAAAGTTTTCACACACACACACACACACACACGGAGAGAGACAATTCTTATTCCCGTCACTCTATAACCATATTTTCCAGTGGCTTTCACAACTAGGTTATTTTCAAATAAAAATTTTTATTTGAAACATACTCTAATCGAAGCTTTAGCGACGACGCTAATTATATTGGATCTCCTTAATCGACTAATTACCAATTCTATCGGAAGCAAAATCACATTTTCACCAGAATGGAAAGTCGAAACTGTCGTCAAGATTATTTTCAAGATGATAAACTAGTAGTATAGGTTTCTCGCGCGGTTTTTCAGTGACTATATAATGATCTTGGACTTTGGACAAATTACCTCTCTCTCTCTTTCTCTCTTTCCTCCTGAACTTCTAATTTTTTGCTGGAATTTATTTTTTTAGATAAATTATTTTTTCTATTCATTGCTACATTTTTTTTAAAAATTATTTCCCCATCTTATTTTTTGTTAGAGAATATGAAATGGATTAAAAAATTATAGAGAAGATTTCTACTAAATCATAATCCGTAGGAACTAAATTTTGAAACTGTTTTACTGCCTCTCGATATTAAATAGATAGAAATTTTTCTGCAAATATTAATCTGTAGGAAATGTGTTCCAAATGAGCAAAATTAATCACGGAATAAAAATAGATGATGCAAATAATTGACAAATTCAATCCGAATCGAAATCCGAAACAAACAAAACAAAATTAATTGATTTTGAAACAGTTTTACTGCCTCAATGCTATTAAATATTTAGATACAAATTTTTCTATGCATATTAACCTATACTGGAAATGTGTTGCAGATATAACAAAAAATAAACACGGATTCTAAATTGATGTTCTAAATAATTGACAAATTCAATCCGAATCGAAATCCGAAACAAACAAAACAATTAGCTGATTTTAAAACAGTTTTACTGCCTTAATTCTTTTAAAAATTAATGTAATAATTTTCCTACCAGTATAAACCTACCGAAAATATGTCTCAGATGGCAAAAAAAAACCGAATGTTTATTTGAAATAATTAATAAATTCATGTGAATCAAAATCCAAAGAACGACAAACAAAACAAAATCACCTAATTTTAAAACAGTATTACTGCCTAAATGTTGTTAAATATCACTCTAAATAAAATTTTCCACGAATTCTAACCTACTGTAAATATATCCCAGATGATAAAAAAGAAACTCGAAATTGATGTTCCAAATAATTGACAAATTCAATATCCAAATCGCGAAATTCGAATGAATTAAGATTAGAATTGATTTTAAATCATTTTCCCTTTAATAACTGTGAGTAATTATTAATTTTGTTCTTTTTCTATGATTGCAGGTGATTTTTAACTACTTCTTCTCTCGCAAACATATAACGTGCCATAAATTTATCAGCAGTCTGTGATAAAGAACCCCAGATCTCGAAACGTCAATGTGCCACCACCATTAAAATTCTTAGAAGTAGTAGAATAGTACAAGAAGGAGGGGAAAGGAAAAACTTTTTTTTTCAACTGAAACACAGTACGACAAAGACACGACGAATGACCTTAGAACCAAGATCAAGGTCTATTGAAGAGCACGATCTCATCAAGGAACAGGTGAAAAATCTAGTCCGCAGAATGTCTACCTGTGCGGACGAAGCCGAAAATACATCCCTGCACATGCAGGAATCTCTGTCACCGGTGAGTTTTTTTATTTTTTCTAAATCATTATTATATTTCAAATTCCAAATTTTGGGCAATTTTTTAACCCCCCTCAAAAAAAAATCAAAGAAGGTCAAAATTTACCAAGTGCTATAAATTCCTTTTGCCTTAAACAATTTTTGAACAAAACTATGTAAAGGATTATTAGAAAAATCTAAAAACCTAAAATCTAACCCTAACCCTAAAAATCTATTCTACACCCAAAAAATTATAGTGAATTATTATTTTCGAAAGATCCTTTATACTTTTACGACATTATTGCTAGCTTTTTGGAACTTGACCCAAATCGAATAACTAAATATAAAAATTATGGTTTTTACCTTTTTTTTACCTCGTCTCCTATATATATATAAACCCCCTTGGTTATTTTTTCTGCTTCTGTGGCTCCGACTTTTACCTCCCGTTGAGCGCAGAATAACGAGACTGGTTGACCGCAGTCGAGCTCTTTTTCTGTATATATATAGATATGAGGGGTCTCTCATAAAACACCCAAGATATAAGAATTGAAAAGATTCAATCCTATTTTTAATAATAGAAAAAATATTTTAAATACTTAATAATTTTTTCGGGACTTAAAAACTACATTTTTGACCTTTTTTCAAAATTCAAAATGGCGGATCCAATATGGCGGAAGATTTTTTTTAAAATTGATATTTACTTTTAAAATTTGTCACTCGGGGGGTTTTCAAGGTCGCTGATTACGAATCTGGCATCAAATTTTCAAAATTCAAAATGGCAAATCCAAAATGGCGGATTTTTTTTAAATCTACCAAATATATTTAAAATTTATTTCTCGAGGGTCAATGAATTTTTTTACTAAATTCAACAATTATAAATTATATTTTGTTGGTGATTAGAAAAAAATTTTCTGGGAAAATAAATTTTTTTTTTTTTTGAATTTATTTTTTTGTTTGTCTCTTATTTGTAAGTCATTTTGCATTTTAAGATGAGATTTATCATATAATCATTAATAAATCAAAGTTGGTAAATGACGCATGGTGGAAAAAATTTATAATTATATAGACGTTGTATTTGAATTATTGCTGACATAATACGGCACTGCGATACCACGTCATTATGATTACAGTTTTATTTATTTATATTAATATTTGTGTCGTGATGCGCATTATTTTAAAGACAGTTGAGTGGTGGGGGGATTTTTTAAAAATAAAAACAGTAATTTTTGATGCTAGAAATCAGTATTATTAAAATTATATATTTGATCTGTGAATGAAGTTAATTGAATTTGTAGGTTATGTTCGCCTTTTCACTTAGACCTTGACCTAATTTTGAGGTTATGTTTATTAAATTTAATCTCAAATCCTAATTTGACATTGATATTGAATTTAAGGTTATGTTTGTCCTGTAATTTTTAACTTAATTTTGAGGTTATGTTCGAATCTTAAAACAGTGGCGTAGGCTTTAAGTCAACTTCATAGGAAACAAGTATTCCAATCGAAATAAATTTTATTTTTCTTCTTATTCGCTGAAATAAAAAGCGAAAATTTGTAAAAGTTGTAAAAAAAAATAATTTTCCTATATGTCAATTATCATCAACTATTTTCATTTTCAATATTTCGAGATTCTTTATAGACTCGTGAAATTTAAAAAAAAAAAAGTTGTAAATTCTTTTTTACAACTTTTACGTTTTTTTTTTAATTTTCAGCGAATTAAAAAACAAAATTAAAAAAAAAATTTATACGTTATTTTTTTGGTTAGTCATTATTTCATATGGGTACATTAATTAAAGTTGATTGTTTTCTCTTTATAAAAAAAATAAAAAAAAAAAGTTGGCTTTTTTTTTCTTGAGAGTTCGTGAGTTCTTTAGACACGAATGGCGGAGGCACCATTTGAGAAATCTTAACGACTCTCGGAGACCCACAGAATCTCTTTCCTTTGCGGAGGCCATTATCGTTAAACCGCCATGGAAATTTTAGTTTCAAATTGTCACTTACATCTTTGACGTGTATTCGTGACTCACAAATCGATTTTTACCTTTTTTTTTTCTTATTTATTTCATAATCCCCGATATTTTTTTACATAATTTTTTTAAAAATATACTTTTAATCTCTAATTTTAATTTTTTTTTCTATTATATTTGGAAATATTTATTTATCACATGGAAAAAAAAATATTTATCTGGAACAGCGATATATTTCTCTAGAATAGTGAAAACTTTCGCAGTTTTAGTGAAACTTATCGTTGTTCCAGGTGAAGATTTTTTTCCGTACAGAAAATAAATAATAGCTTTAATGTAAAAAGTGACACTAAAATACGTTCCGAAATCAATTGCCCGTTGAAAAAATAAAAAGAAAAAAGAAAACAGTAGAGCGAAATAGATTACGTTTAAACGTTTACTCTATTACCGATGTACGCGACCTGTAATTGATGACTTTGTAACAGGCACCACTTTAGTTTCGAGCAGCTCAATTATCTCAATCTGATTCAAAAGAGCCTTGCGGCCTAATTAGTTTCGCTCTATCATATAAATGTTTTATATATATGGCCACTTCACTCTTCAGAGAATTCAGGTTAGATTGATACAAAAAAAAATGAAATGATATATTTTAGTACGTGTATCTTCACATTAATCACTATTATCATTCTTTACATGCAAACTATTAAAATACACAAAAATATTTCTACTTTAATATATAATTATAAAATTCATATATATTGTCTTTTTGAATTTTTATCAAATTTTCATTTTTACTTAAATCTAATTGTCTTTTCTAGTTTTCAATTAAAACCTTTTTTTTCTTCCAACTTTCAATTCTTATATTTTCTCGTTTTCAAAAAACAATTTTTTTGCCCTCTCCAAAGAGAAAATTTTAAATCCTCATGAAACTTAATTTCTATATACTTAAATCAAATTGTCTTTTCTAGTTTTCAAAGAAAACCTTTTTCTTCCAACATTCAAGAGAAATTTTTAATCTCCATTTTTTGTTAATTTAAATTGTCTTTTCTAGTTTTCAAAGAAAAACTTTTTTTCTATAACAAAATTTGGTGCAAATAAAATCAAAAAAATTTAATAGTTTATTTAAATCAAATAAATAATTTATTTAGCTGTGAAAAATATAAATACATTTTTTCACTAGGTGTAGAAGTACCTTAAAATTAGAAGGTGATGTAGTCGATGCATATACTAACCCAACCCTGGGTTTGATTAACATTTAGTTCTTTTTCCTGTATAAAAATAATGTAACATATTGATTAGCAAAAATAATATTAACAAAATAAATAATTATCAGTAACGTAATTATAATAATAATAAAATAATGATAATAATAATCGTAGAGTATTTTAAGGTTATGTTACAATAGTAGATAACGTAATAAAAATGTTTTCCAAAATTTCTAAAGAAAAAATTACTTTTTGATATGAATTAAAATAAAGTATAAGAATATTTTGCGAGGTATTATTTACCGTGATAAACAGGATGGATAAAATGAAGGAGCATCGGAATCCGGGGGCGCGTAGTCTGGACCTCAAGGCCCTTCCTTCCTCCGTCATCGTCCCCCTTCGCCCCATCGCAAAGTACACTCCATACTCCCATCTTAATGGGAGCCTCTTTTTTAATACACTCATGGATTTCTTTAGGTGTGTTTGTGTCTGCGATATTTAGAAATATATATATTAAGTTCATATATCTTATTATTCCTTTTACAATTATTTTTGCTTCTTGAAATACACTCTTTAAGATATTAAAATACTATTCGCAAAGCAATTCATGAGATATTGTAATTCTCATATATGTCTGCACTCAAGGGTTTATTCCACAAAGCTTTGTTGCGTAGACATTTTGTATATAAAGAATCGCCCACACAAAACACTCAACAGTGAAATCAACATTGTATGAATGAGAAGATTTTAGAAATTATTATTTTAGTTGCAGAAAACTAAATGTATATATACATAACCTCAAAATTTGTGTCTAATCCGAATATAACCTCAAAATTTATGCCTAATCCAAACACAACCTCAAAATTTGTCTCTAATTCTAACATAACCTCAAAATTTTGTTATATAAATTTTTAAATATTTTAAATTTAAAAAAACCTGAAGGTCAACATAACCTCTTGCAAAGCGGGAAAAATTCATTATATAACATTGTTTACCACAATATTTTGCAGACACACAAAACCACATTAAATGAAAATAAAAAAAAAATTAACGGATATTGACTGTGCTACTTGTTTGCTTTTTTTTTCTTCTTCTTCTTTTTTCATCCATTACGAATTGTATAGACGCAGTAGATTACCCGCACCACAAGAATGAGAAACGTTTAAGTTGTTAGTTAGTTACTTGTGAACGGACACCATTCGAACTCTCTTGTCTGGTACGCTGGGTTGGGTCCATAGTTATAACAATATACTTTGTCTCTCACTGACATTCATCGCTAATTAACTCTGTGATTGCAAAATGACTGTTTTTTTGTGTCTAGCTTCTTCTTTTACTAATGAATCCGTATACTAAATTTAACATTAAAAATAAAGAATCTTTTTTCAAATTTTTTATTCGATAAAAAATTTCTCGAAAAAAATAAATTGCCAAAAAAATAAGTATCAATTTTTAATACACTTATGCTGACAACTGATAAAATTAATAATATATTATTTAAGAATAAACTTTCATGGTATTTATAATATTTGATAACGAAAGAATCATTAAAAAAAAACATTCCACTTTTTATTATTAAATGCACGACTTAAAACATGTGGGAATTTTATTACATATATACCTTCTGTAATTTTATTTTAAATTTATGAAAATAATAATAATCTTTTCGAATATATGTATACATATTTTTAGCAGAAGTCGCACAACTAATGAGATATTAAAATTTTGATACTTTGGAAAAATTTATATGACTCATCGTTATCATGTCATATTTATATATTATATTCGGTTTCACTCGAAATCGTAGATTTCAATGATTTTTGCCCACCACACTTGTCAATAATAAATATCTTGTCATTTTTTTTTAATGTCGTTGCGAAAATAATTTTTTTTTCCTCTCGCAATTTTATATGTTTGTTAAATGAAAATAATTTTTTAATTTATGGTCTATATAGAAAGTCTTTTGATAAAAGAGTAAGCGACTTTTTATATTGATCTTTAACTTTTTTTTTAAGTACCTCCAGCAATGCTAATGAATTTATCATGCGAGGCAAAACATCATTCTTTTAATGTCTCAGATTATTATTACTATTAATAAAATACGATTTCAAGGCTGGGATTATCAATTTATTATTATTTGCATTATATGACTTTCATTTAATTATATATTCAAACTATTTTAAGAAGGGGGAATCAATGTCTTTTCTAGTTTTCAAAGAAAAACTTTTTTTTTAACACTCAGAGAAATTTTTTTTAATAGATAAAATTGTCTTTTCTGGTTTTCAAAAAAAAACCCTTCTTTTAAAATTTATACTAATTTTAATAAATACCTTTTTTTGTATGTTCTTAAAAAATAGGAGGTTCCAGTCTCTCCGGCTTCATCATTGAGCAATCCAAATCAAAATGACAGTGAACATACGTTGCTCACGACAATGCAACCAGTGAACGTTCTCGACCTTCACGAACCACCTGGACATCCACTTCATTTAAAATATCATCATCATCATCATCATCATCCACGACATCATCATCACCATCATCATCATCATTCCCAGCACATTCATCAAGACGACGATCATTCACGTGGTCCTGACGATCAGGACGATCGTGTAACACCCGAGTCAACAGGCACCAATTCAAATTTATCAGTTGGCGAACACAAAATGATTGATCTCATCTATAATGACGGTCAAAAAACAATTATGTACACACACGACAAGGAGATTATCTATGAGAATGAGGCTGATAGAGTTCAAGTTGTTGAATATCCACCACCACCACCATCGCCACCATCTCCATCACCACCACCATCCAGAGGTCAGGGATTGGTTCCCGTCAATTGTGTCACACCAAGAACAACATCAACACTACATTTACATTATCCACAATTGCAATTACAACAACACGATGACGACTTACCAAGAGGTGTTTCATCAGTTTCAAATAATGTCTCCAATTGTACAGCTGGCACAACAACAACCACTGTTTTGGTACTCTCTGAACTTGTCGCCGCCGATCCAACTGCAAGCGCTGCCGCTGCACAACAATTGACACTCACTGCCGCTTCACTTCGAGCTGGGTAAGTCCTAAAATCAAGTCAAAAATTTAGTATTTTCGATGGTGTACAAGATAATTTACTTTTTTTTTTTTACCTTAATCTCTCTCATTGTATCTTACGGGAAGATCGTTAAATTGTTTTAACGCCAGAGGGGCTGGGTCTTTGACATACCTCGCGTAAAAGCCCGCCGGTTATTATCATCATCGTCGTCGTTTGCCGTCGTTTCGCTCGGTTAAGCCACTCATACAACACTTAAACAAGAAATCGACCCCCTCTTTCTCTCCCCATTCATGCGCGATTCTTGACATTTCTCTTCTCCCATTTTCCACTTTGTGACCTTTGCCGACACGCACTTGACTTATACCTATACTAATCGACCTCGATATCGCTATATATATATATATATATATATATATATATATATATATATATATATATGAAGAGAGAAAAAAAATTTCCGCCGAGAAAACCAGGTAGGGATATATATATATAATGACGATGATTGAGAAACAGGATAATGGATAAAGGGTCATTGGCACAGAAGTAACACACACTTTGTTGTCTTCTTGTTAAAAAATAATATCAAAATAGTTACAGGAAACTTACGATTTTTTGTATAAATCATAAATGTCTTTTCTGGTTTTCAAAAAATCATTTTTTTTTCTTTCATCCCCCGGAGAAATTTTGAATCCTAAAACTTATTTCTACATTAATAGAAATCTAAGTAAGAATGATTTTTTGAATACTTAAATCAAATTGTCTTTTCTGGTTTTCAAAGAAACCCTTTTTCTTCCAAATATCAAAGAGAAATTTTAAATCCTAGTGAAACTTAATTCTTATATAAATCGAATTGTCTTTTCTGGTTTTCAAAGAAACCCTTTTTCTTCTAATATCGAAGAGACATTTTAAATCCTAGTGAAACTTAATTTTTATATATAAATCAAATTGTCTTTTCTGGTTTTCAAAGAAACCCTTTTTCTTCCAATATCCAAGAGAAATTTTGAATCCTAGTGAAACTTAATTTCTATATTAATAGAAGTCTAAGTAAGAATGATTTTTTAAATACTTAAATCAAATTGTCTTTTCTGGTTTTCAAAGAAACCCTTTTTCTTCCAATATCCAAGAGAAATTTTAAATCCTAGTGAAACTTAATTTTTATATAAATCAAATTTTCTTTTCTGATTTTCAAAAAACATTTTTTTTCTCCTACCCAAAAAGTTTTCAAACAGCAAAATAAAATATATACTACAGAACCCAACCCAATTTTCATACCGTTATTTTGAATTTCTCTTTCTTATCATAACGATGATGAATATTTTCTTTTTTTTCTAAATTTCGTAGCATAAAAAAGGGAAAATTGTTTCCTCGAGATATTTCGAAAAAAATCGATAAGACAAGATCGTTAATAATTGTTGAACATATATATATAGTTTAAGAATAGTATGGTGTTTGTAATTTCGAATGGACCGCTCGAAGAAATTTTTTTTATCTGTGTGTTCAATATCTTCATGAAACGATTAACAATTATTACACTAACACAAATATGTAAGGCGTGTTCAGGGTGCGTGTAATAGCGAGAGCGGCGCGCGGAGTAAGTCACGTTGCACGATAGAATTTATTATTGCGCTGCATTCATACTATAACCAACTTACCACGATATATATGAGGCAAAATTCCTGAAATGTCCGAACAAAAAATTAAAAGTTCTCGAATTTAATCCATACTTTTCTAAAATGTTGTTATTGTTGGTGAAAGTCTAAAAATCAATTATTATTGAATTTAATAAAATAATTTTTGAATTACAACGTTTTTAATTTTTGACTTTTGAAAAAAAATTTTTTTTTCAATGTACAATATTTATAAGTAGAATGCATAAAAGTTAACATATATATAATGATTTTTAAAGCTTTTTTGACGAGCTACACGCTCTTAATAAAAATTTTTTTTTTTAAATAACATTTGACCTTGAAATTCAAGGTCAAAATGTTAATTTACGTTTATCTCAAAATCGGATTTTTTAAAATTATTTTTAACTATCTCAATGGAAAGCTTGACTAATTTCCTATAAAATATGTAATTTTCAGAGTGGGACCTTTTAAAGTTTTTGAGATATTAATTAATTAATTAATTAATGTTTATAACAAATGAAATATTTTACAAACGAATAAAGTTACCGTAATTCTGAAGTTAGTAATTGAAAGTTAACGTAATTCCGCATCCAACGAGCCCTATATGAAGTATTTTGGATAAGTAAATTGTTAATAAACAATTAGTTAACATTGCAATTGTTTATTAACAATCTACTTATCCAAAATACTTCATATAGGGCTCGTTGGATGCGGAATTAGCTTAACTTTCAATTGGTAAGTTCAGAATTACCATAACTTTATTTGTTTGTAAAATATTTTATTTTTTACTAACAACAAGCATCCAAAAGCCCTATATGAAGTATTTTTGTTCAATTTTAGTTAAATAACAATAAAAAATGAAATATCTTACAAACAAATAAAGTTATCATAAATCTAAACTAACCAATTGAAAGTTAAGCTAATTCCGCATCCAACGAGCCCTATATGAAGTATTTTGGATAAGTAGATTGTTAATAAACAATTGCAATGTTAACTAATTGTTTATTAACAATTTACTTATCCAAAATACTTCATATAGGGCTCGTTGGATGCGGAATTACGTTAACTTTCAATTACTAACTTCAGAATTACGGTAACTTTATTCGTTTGTAAAATATTTCATTTGTTATAAACATTAATTAATTAATTAATTAATATCTCAAAAACTTTAAAAGGTCCCACTCTGAAAATTACATATTTTATAGGAAATTAGTCAAGCTTTCCATTGAGATAGTTAAAAATAATTTTAAAAAATCCGATTTTGAGATAAACGTAAATTAACATTTTGACCTTGAATTTCAAGGTCAAATGTTATTTAAAAAAAAAAATTTTTATTAAGAGCGTGTAGCTCGTCAAAAAAGCTTTAAAAATCATTATATATATGTTAACTTTTATGCATTCTACTTATAAATATTGTACATTGAAAAAAAAATTTTTTTTCAAAAGTCAAAAATTAAAAACGTTGTAATTCAAAAATTATTTTATTAAATTCAATAATAATTGATTTTTAGACTTTCACCAACAATAACAACATTTTAGAAAAGTATGGATTAAATTCGAGAACTTTTAATTTTTTGTTCGGACATTTCAGGAATTTTGCCTCATATACATACACATATAAATGTACTTATATATATATATCTATATAAATATTGCAAACCAATAACCATTAACTACTCAGCGCGCCACCTTGCTCTTTGCAATAAATAAAAATCAACGGCAATTAATCCGCTATAATATATGCACACCAGGACCTTGAAGCCTCGAAAACAACTGCATATGTTATACATAAATACACACACAGAAATTCTTAATAAATATATATATATATATATATATATATATGAGCATCCATACCATCCATGTGAGTAGATATATCCATCGATGTATATGGTTACATATACAGATACGAATTTATATTTGTATTATTTATGTTAAACATATGTACACTCCGTATGTCTCCATTACATGTAACTGTTGGGATAAATGTGTGTTCGTGTATCTTCACATGAATCACTATTATCATCCTTTACATATGGAAACTATTAGAAGTGTATTGAATATTTACGAATTTCTATATATTTCAATTTTCATTTTTTTTATTCAATATATACTTAAATCGAATTGTCTTTTCTGGTTTTCAAAAAACCACTTTTTTTTCTCTCACCCCCGAGAAATTTTGAATCCTCGCGGAACTTAATTTCTACACTGAGAAAAACGATTGGTTGCGATTATCATTTCGTTAGTAAGAGTATTTTTTGCTAATTTATATATGTTACTGTTACCATTTAGTTAGTCAGCATTTAGTTTGTAAGATAACTAATTAAATAGTTATTCCAATAAACTAATTAGTTAGACCAATAAAACAGTTATGCGCCAACCAATAAAAATAGTAATCCTAACTAATAAATTAGCAGCTTAGTTTACTAACTAAAAATGGTCACCTCAAAAATGGTAACCAATCTTTTCTCTCTCTATATATATACTTAAATCAAATTGTCTTTTCTGATTTTCAAAAAACCACTTTTTTTTCTCCCACCCCCCGAGAAATGTTGAGTCCTCGCGGAAATTAATTTCCTCCATACTTAAATCTAGTTGTCTTTTCTGGTTTTCAAAAAACAATTTTATACAAAAAAAAAAATTCATAAACGTCCATATTTGACTCGGGTGCCATTTCGTTTGAATCCGCCTCTGGTTGTTGAATGAATCCTTCGAAATAAAAATTTCGTTAAAATGAAAATTTTGAAAAATAAGAAAGAAATGATTAATTTTAATCGATCGTCGATGAAATTACTTACGCATAAAAAGAGTCTTGATTCGGAGATAATATAATTTTTTTTATTTTGCCCAAAAAAAATGCCATTTCAGCAATGTCGCCTTCGAAAAAAAAAAAATATATATATATACGAGTATATATATATATATATATATATATGTCTGTTGGGAGAAAGGAAGAAACTGCTATAAGCAAGAAGTGCGATCTTCGAAAATTCGCCTTCCCTTTCACTTTGCCGACCACCGATACAGAATTGTATATACATATATATATGTTTAATTCTACTGGGTGGTCAGAAAATATCACCTCTCAAATTCCATGGATATTTTGATAGTAATTGATTGTCATCTCGTTGAAACGATTCCATGGCAAAGAGATTCAATTGAAGATAATAAAATACAAATTGAAAATAGTGTAGGTGCTTAAAAAACTGATACAAACCAAATTTCCCTTTTTTTTCGAAAATTAGTTTTAACACTCAGTAGATATATGATGAGGCGGTCCAGTGAGCTCTCAAGGTTCCCAAATATATATATAGATAACCCACTAGTTTGTATATATATTAATCTCACTTAAATTAAAAGAGATTCGAATACATCTAAAATCCAATTTTCACA